AAATAGTGTCTTTTGACTCTGTCACACGACCAATGTACCAGGACTTGAAATTATAACCAATAAGTTGCCAGTCATGATAACTGACCAACAGTCTACCATCACCTTTTATTATTTTTATTATTTTTAATAAGCTTCCATAACATGAGTGCACAAAATATGAGCAGCAAAGTTATAAACAGCGTCTTGGTTTTCCCTTTCAGAGTGGTGACCTTGATGAGACATTTGAAGAAATGTTTACGAGACAAGTAGTAACTATAGTTGGTGCCATACAAAGGTAGGAAACACCATGGCAGGTGTACAAAAGTGCTCTTGTCTCTCACCTGTATGTGACGCTGTATCACATGTAAGAGTGAGTTGTTTCAAGTCATTTTGGTCCCTCCTTTTATGTGAGATTTCAAAGGTATTGCCCTAGTCTGCCGAGGTCAGACTTGGAGATCAGCCCAGAGGTTGTTTCAGGGTTCCATATGTGGCAAGTTAGCTGTGTCTAATTAGATCAGCTCAGAGGTTGTTTCAGCGTTTGATATTGTAGTGCATTGGACTTCCTGTGGTTCTGGTTGCCTGTGTGTTATGTACTGAAAGGACATGTAAGATGGTGGAATAGATAACATGTTGGAATCCATTATAATCTGTGATTATTTGACCAATATGTGTGGAGTTAACCATGCCCTGTACTACTATACAAAACACTTAAGAATGAATTTTGGTATTTTTCTTCATTGATGACAGACAACAGACCAAAGTGGTTATAGTCCCATCCCAAAGAGATGTTCATCATGACTTTGTCTATCCGCAGCCACCATTTGTTGACAAGGACAACATCTTTAAGGACAACAAAGTTAGTCACCGTTATTCTTTTTTCTACTGCACTGTATCATACAGGGCTAAGAATAATGGCTGGTCACTGGTGACATTGACTGCCCAAATTAATTAGCACATTAATACCATGTTTTCTTGCTCGACATTCCAATTCTGGCCAGATATTGTCTGATGACCAGCTGTTATTTGTAGCGATAGTATATGACAATGGGTTTTGATACCTTTCAAAATACACCACTGATTTTATTTTGACCATCACAGAATGCGTACTTTGTGTCTGATCCATGTTCTCTGTTGGTAAACAATATCGTTATTGGAATAACTTCAACAGATGTGTTGTTGAATTTGGGCAGTGAAGAAACAGCAAGGTATGTAAACAAAGTAACGAAAAGGAGTACATATTCGTCCAAGTGATTCTCAATAGCACATATGGAATTGTTTTAGAGACAAGTAGGTTTAATTTGCTGGACGTCAGTCAAGGCGTTTCCATGACATTCCATAGGCACTTGCCCTTGAAAACTTTGTTTTTCTCTGACAATGTCATGGAAACACTTTGATTGACATCCATCAAAACCCTATTTTGTTGTGAAGTCAGATATGATTTTGTGTTATTGGGAAGCACTATAAATCGTTTTAGTGTCCATAATCATGAAATCTTACTTTTTTTATTGCTATTATTTCTTTCCCAGCCCTCCAGGGTCATCTGACCGACTTGGTCGCCTGGTCAAACATCTTTTATACCAACACAGGTTTGTGCAGCTTATAGACCTCTTTACCTGGGGTGTAATGTTTACCCATTTCACAACGTGTCACCCCCTTGAGTATCATTTCTTTTATTTAATGGTTGCGCATGCTGCTGCCTGAAAAAGGCTCCATTATAACTGTTTATCCATCCACCCCTCCCTCCCTCTCACCCTCCATTAATCAATCCATCCATTCATTCATGCATGCAATCTCATTGATTTTTATCTTTTTTTGCCCTTGTACTTATTGGACAAATGCAGCTATTATCCATTACATCCAACAAGTGAGGATATCAACATGGACTATGAGAAGTTTGCCAGCCATGCATCTCTGCCGTGTACACCAGATATTTTGATTCTTCCTTCAGATCTAAGATACTTTACCAAGGTATGAAAAGATATAGTTATTTTTTTAAAATCACTAAAAAAATATCAAAATTTTCTTCCATTTTTCCAACCTTTAGGATATTCTTGGTTGTCTTTGTGTGAACCCAGGCCGTCTTGCCAAGGGTCAAGTTGGAGGAACATATGCAAGAATCTATGTCAACCCAAATACTGAACATACTGATAAATCTCTTTCTCATATTCTTTCAAATTCTTTAGCAGAAGTGGTCAGAATATAGATCAATATAAAAACATCAGTGTCTGTACAGTTAAAAAAAAATTAATATTTCCTGGGATTTTTAATACAATTCAAAAAATTAAAATACTGGTAGTTATTATAAGCATCTTATTTTTTTCCTGCAAAGTACAGTTAATACAGGAATGTCTTAAGTAATTATAATTAAAGTTCTCATTCATAGAAAATGTAAGATTTATTTTTGATTACATTGTTTGATGATGCAAATTTCAAAGTTTTGGGAAAGACTGACACATGAGTTTATGCATTAAGATGTAAAGTACCAATCAGTCATAAAACACATGCCGATGGAAATGTTTGGTAAAATAGGTCCTGTGTACTAAAACAATGTCCCTACACTCCCAGATTTAGTATTTAAATGAATATCCTTTTAAAGCCAGAAAATGAAAAAATTAGGAAACCTTTTTAATGCAATATTTAGACCTATCCCGAATTCGCTTGACTGGTCACGAATAAAATGGTTTCAAGTCGAGGTTGAACTTGATGAATAAAAGAATCAAGTTCAGTCTCGACTTCAATCAATCAATCAATGCATTGCTCATTTCTCTTAGAGAAACATTCAGCTCTCACTCTACTCGAGTAAGTTCAACTACTTTGAAGCCAAACTATTATGGTTGCGTTTAAAGCATTCTTTCAGAATCTGTCATGGTTGATATCAAGGTGGTCAATCAAGCGAATTCAGGATAGGTCTATTAATTAGAATATTATCCCTATGGATCTTTTTCACCAGGCAGCTGTCTATTCTCATGGGAATAAACATGGCACCGTGCGATCATGGTCCATGCCACCCCAGATACCAAAACTTTTCTGAGATAGCAAGTGTGACTGGGTTTACTTTACAGGTCCATTTCGATGGATTGTGGTATTTACATCAGAAGATCGTATTGAGAGTATGTGACTCTCACTAAAACTATAGAAAACAGTAACACGCAACTCTCAATGTGGACCATACGAAGGTCAGGAAGAACTGGTTTATTGTTACAAATCACAAGTAATATGAGCATGGTTACAAAATGATTGACAGTTAATTGATAACAAGTTTAAAACAGGTTTATAAACAGGGTGTTTTTGTTCTAATTTCCTGTGACAACTAAAGTATCCTATAACATGTTTACACAAGGATTAACTAATAGATTAACAAAGACAAACCCTTGCTGTCTTTCTATAACATCAGGCTCCCTTAACCTGGAACACATTCTATTCTCCGAAAATACCTTGCTTTGCTATGTGAGCAAAATGAAACAAATGTTACATAAAACTATTAAATTTCACCTGGTTACACAACCATGCATATGGTACATTGTGGTCTAGCTAGAGTACAAGCATCTTGTTCATCATTCTTTATATGGTGTTGTTTGTACTCAAGATAGACCAGAATGTTTATCATACTCAGAAAATGCCTTTGGTTATGTTGATTACATAATATATGTACTGTATAGTATGTATGTTACGCCCACACTGACGTCTAACAAAGAAGTATGGAGTTACAAGTCAGACAACCGTCAACTTTATGCAGTTCTGAATTTTCTAGCTCGATCTTTGGCCCAGGTAATTTCCTATAAACAGAAATACTTTCAGGAATCTCATGAGGTGCAAGATGTACAAGTGTACCATTCAAGTACAAACAATTAGCAGCGTGATCTTCTGGAAGTACAAGCTTTTGATACTTGAATTTGGCCTTGGATTCCAATTCATTCCAGGCATCACTTGCTACTTTGCTAGCTCCTACAAAGATAACATCTGGCCCTCCCATCGTCATCATTGATTTTAGATGCAAATGTTCAACAACTTTGATAGAGTTAACTGGGTATTCAGGGAAGGCCTTTGCTAACTCCGCTACGCCCTCCATATTACTCCTGGTAGACACCCCAACGAAGAACTCCCTACCGGTGAATAGCACATCCCCTCCGTCCAGTATCGCCGGGTCTTGCATTTCAATGACATTAAATCCTAATCCTTCTAGGGTGTCTTTCATCCTTGATGCCTCGGGTCTTCTACTTTGATGGCCTAGGATAGGTATTAAAGCGGAGTTATCGACACACACAGCAGTATCTTCGACAAATACACAGTCAGGGCAGTTTTCATCTGGCGTCATCTCCGTCACCTCCAGGCCAAGCTTCTTCAACGTGGATACGTACTCCGCATGTTGCTTGCGGGCTTTCAAGAGATCAACTCCCTCCCCAGGTTCTTCCAGGCGCTGAGCTTGTGCTGGTAAAGATGATGGAATTCCACAAACGATTGCTCTTGTATATTCAAATTTGGAAGACATTTTGTCTCACACGTTGCCTTGTATCTTCGAAAAAAGAGAGCCCGGTAGCTAAATGACCACAGGTAGCCCAAAGATGATAAAAACCTGCAAGGGAAGGAGAGGTTAGGTCATCCTTTACATTTATATCTTATCATTCATTAGCAAGGAGGGATGGTAGAGAAAGTGGGAGAAAGAGCACAAGTATTTTGAGCCAGTAGAAATACCAGGGTGATCCAGGAAATGTATTGATTCCAATAATAAGGGGGTGGTCAACCAATTCTAAGCGAAAATGAATAAATGGACAGCATATTAGCAAAAATTTCAGATGGATACCCAGTGAATCACCTGCACATTTTTCCTGGACCCACCCATGAATTTATAGGCCATTTTGGAGATTGAGAATTAAAGGAAATGTAATGTTATTAGTGGCAATGGATATATTAATGACAAGTACACAAATGTTCAAAATCATCAATTTTATCAAATTTTCAAACTTTGCTTTCAACATAAACGGTGCAGAGCTCATTGAGTAATCTGTGATGATTACTTACATGACTACTTTCTAACAAGAAATTTAAAACTAAACATGCATAACAAAATAAATGGTAGCCATTATAATTTTTGTAGTTTCAGAAAAAATCTGTGCCTTCCCACAATAGGAGAAAATGACTGACCATACTTCTCAATAATGCTGGCCATGAAATGAACATTGATTCAATATAATATTTATATTAACACTAATATTGTCATACAGCTCTGCACAGCTTTCCTTGAAATACATATTAACAATAGGCTACGTTTGATATCTTAAAATCAGACTTGATTCCGAGGCTTTAGTAGCATGGGAATTGATTATGTATGGTCGGTACAAACATGTGGATCGCCAAATACACCAAAAAAATATAATCAAATTTACAGCACTTTTTGAGTTTTAATGCGATTTTAAAACATTTTATTCTGGAGAGCCTCTGTATCGTGCTAGAGTTTTAATATCTCGAACGTGGCCTATTTCCAATACTTCATGTTATAGTTCCATTCAGTGACCACGAATAATAGTTCCAAGCCAAGGCTGCAGTTGGCTGGAGTTGATAAACTGTAGTTTTGCTATATTATTTGTGGTCACTGAACAGAACTGTAAAGTGGAGTATTGAAATCATCAAAAAGAACCTTAATGATGAAAAGGTAAATTATACACCGTGAAAAGATGAAAAAACTTACTGACGTTTCGGACGCTAGTCCTTCATCGGAGTAAAAGAGCTCTTTTACTCCGACGAAGGACTAGCGTCCGAAACGTCAGTAAGTTTTTTCATCTTTTCACGGTGTATAATTTACCTTTTCATCATTACTGTTTCATTAGAAACACCGACGCAGCTCACACTAGTTTTTAGCTAGTTATATCTTTTTAAAAAGAACCTTATATTACCTTTTTGTTTAAAAATAATAAGTTTATTTTTGAAACGTCTGTACAAACGGTAGTGAAAAAGCAATATACATTCTACAATCTAGATCACTTGGTTTTCTACTTTTATGCAATTTAAAAATGTACATAAATCATTTTGATACACATAGAGCCTGCTTAATTGAACAATCCGGGTTTGGTAAGGTGTCAATAAGGTGTTGGTAAGCAGTTGGTTAAGTGTGAATAAGGTGTTGGTAAGGTGTCATAAGGTTGTGTTAAGTGGTTGGTAAGGTGTCAATAAGGTGTTGGTAAGCAGTTGGTAAGGTGTCAATAAGGTGTTGGTAAGGTGTCATAAGGTTGTGTTAAGTGGTTGGTAAGGTGTCAATAGTTAACATGTTGGTAGGGTGTAATTAAATGGTTGTTAAGTGGTTGTTAAGGTGTGCCAATAAGGTTTTGGTAAGGTATCAATGTGTTGGTAAGTGGTTGGTGAGGTGTCATTAAGGCATTGGTAAGTGGTTGGTAGGGTGTCACTAAGTGATTGTAAAGTGGTTGGTAAGATGTCAATAACATGCTGGTAAAGTTACTATTAGTAAGTGGTCAAAAGTCAAGTCTAAAACACCATTTTCATTATTCATCAGTTCCAGTATAAAAGAACAAAATCAGTACAAATAAAAAATGTTCAACATTTGTCAAAACAGAAAGTATGTTCATTGTTACACAGACCTCATGCAAATCATGTGGTCACATCATAAGATTGTATGAGTGGGAAACATAATACTGGAACACTTCTGAGCTTATCAAAAACCAAGATAGACCTGGCATCAAGGCTATGTGCATATAAACATTTAATCTGTCAGTACAGTATCTTAAAAACCTTGTTCTGGCTACCATATTGGATTCAAATGAATATCCAATCTCGTGACGGTCTTTCACAATAAAATTGTTAAGTTGTATTGAATATCTTGGTATATTTGTAGTTTCATTACAGAAAGCCTTGATATAATGAAAGACTATTGAACAGATATATGTGTAAAAATAGCTCACGATTTTAGTCAAGCCAGAAGAGATATATTCTGTTTCCCACTATACAAAGAGGTATCTAACCAACAAGTAAAATTAACAAATTGAAAAGAGCCACTCTTTTCATGAATCATAGTCATCATCCTCTTCTTCTATAGACTGGCACGATGTTGATATGTTATTTAATGTCGGCTTGTATGTTGAAGGTAGGGAATCAAAACTGTCACAGAAAACAAAGATCATGATCAGAATTTCTTGTCTACTGTTTGTATGGTTGCAGTGGGGAGGGGAGGGGAAGGGGTCTTGGATTACCAAACCTAAATATTTTTTTATACTGGGTTAACAAATACAGTATAAATACTGGTATCCAATTAAGCCAGTTTCATTAGCATGTACACACACAATATATTCAAGATTCGCATGTTGATTTTAACCAAAGGATGAAAACTGAAGGTTGAACCCCATCTTACTACTAATCCCAGAATGCAGAGCAGAAACTAACTGTTGGTCAGTCACCAGCCAAATTGGTTTTAGCTCTGTCATACCTTGTTTCTGGTTCAACTTCACCTGTCAAAATGACTGCCAAGGCAAATCAGCCATTATTTTTAGCCCTGAGCACAAATTGCTCAACCAAATTCACAGTCCAAGGCACATAGTTTTGATTTCCATTTTTGATCAAAATCTTTTTTTCAAAATCGGTACTCATGATGACTTTTTTGACAATACTCMTTTACAGTTTGCATACACACAGCATATAGGACTAGTTATATGGTTTGTTTATATACATGGATCGAAAGGGTATATCATATGGATCGAATGTGTACGTGGGTGGATCGAAACGACCTGAAACAACCTGGATCGAAACCACTGTGGATCGAAAATACTGGCATTCGTTTAGAGAAAGTGAATCATCATCCCTATTCACATCGTTATGAGCATTAAAAAAAATAAGGCCTTAACAATGGAGAAAGTACATGTACATGACAGTGCAATAAATACTTACATGTCGTCATTGTCAGTCTCAGGTTTGGTAACAGTGATTACTGGGAGATTTGGACGTTTGGATGCCGGTCCAGCAGATGAGGCATAATTGGAAGATACAGAAATATTATTTGTATGGATATTTCCATGGTTACTGTGACTTTCTGAAGACCCAGACACATCTTCCTAAATTTTAAGAACAAATGAATCTACTTTGAAGTGAAAAGGTGTCTAATTGGCCTGGATAATTCAATCCCCCTATTCCTATGGCATCACAGCTTGTTTATGATGAGGGAGACAGAATGATAGAGAACAATAAGAATATGGACTAACTTTACTATGCATCTGAATTGATAGCTCTAAGATATCTGGTTCTCAAGCATTAATTTAAGAACTGGTGTTTATTCTATAACATATATCTGATATGATTGGTCGCTATTATTGCATATCTAAATTCAAGAGAAAAAGAAGACTTTTCGCAAATTTACCATGACCATTATTTTACGAAACATTGTTTTCATGAGACCACAAAATGAATTTACATTATTCAATTTTGCCTCTGGTCTCATCAAAATACAGGGAAAAAGCAGGTACATATTATGTAACTTTTTGCGCGAATTGTATCTTTTATCTACTTACGTCCGTGTCCGGTTCTTCTTCCTCTTGATCATCGTCAGAATCATCAGACATATCTATTCTTTCCTCTTCCTTTTTATTTTTTCTTTTTCTTTTTGGTCTGTCTTTCTCTTTATTTGAAGGTTGCTGTTTTCTCCTAAAAAATAATAGTTACCCAAATACCTTAAAAAACTGTTGCTATGGAAATGCTACTATCCAGCTGATTTGAAAGAGTGATGTAGAAATGACATATGAAGCCTGTGAAAATTGACCACCAAAAAAAACATGCCTGTTTTATTGTTTCACTTAAAGATTTACAAATTTTCTTGATTGTGAATGGCAAACATTTTCCTCAGATAAACTGAATAAAATTTCCAATTTACATCAAGTTCTCAAAAAATAAATACAATGAATAATATCTCAGCTGTGCGAATTATTATGAATCTGTACTTGTATATTGATTGGACTGCTATTCTTCCYGCAAGATTCATACATAACAAAAGAAAGAAAGAAAATAATGAAAGGAAGTAAGCTTCTTTGTAAATTAATTCTGCATTATTTTAAGGAGCTTACCGTTTTGGTTTAGGTTCTCCCTCAACTTCCTCTTCATTCTCAGGCAAATCTGGTATTTTTTCAACCAAATCTTTGAGAAAATCAAACTGTTGCTCAGAGTTGATACACTTTTTGCTAGAATTTCAAGGTTATAAGAACGTGTTATTATCAATAATTCATAAATATCTCACAAAACTATAAAATGACAAATTACCCAATGCACGCAACAACAAAAAATACAAATCCAAGATACAAGTATTGAATCTTTTTCACTTTTCATTTCCCATTTCGGTTAGTCATTTTACACTCAATACTTTTTTAATCTTATCAGATGATTATTAAACATTTATATGTTTTTGCTGGTGCTGATACATGTCCAACACGTAACTTGAACTTTACAAAGGTAATATTTAAGTTTTCCTTTATTTTGAATGTGTTTATATTCAGCCTATAATGAAATATGGTGAAATAAAAATATATGTAAATAGATCTGTTGTTTATTAAGAAAACATTGGTTTTTCAAAGTAACCACAGCTACGTGGCCAAAAAAAAAACTCAAACAAACTGCGTGCGTGTTCTATCTTGGATTTATGAATTAAGTGGAAACGTAGTTGTATTTACTTACATATGAGCAGTAGTTAGGGTTTTTGCGTTACGAGATTGAGTATATAGACAAGCTTTTTCTACCAACGTCTGCATGAACATTTCAAGTGCTTTGGCTGAGAACCATCTTGTTAAGCAAAAACTCAAATGCGATCATTGATCAGATAATAATTTCATCAAAGTGTAATCGTTTTAAAACCTCGGACATATATATATATTTGAGTTAATTAACCTTCTCTCTGTGATTATTTTAAGGTGATAGTCGAGCTTTTAGATTACATTTGTGACCTATATAATTTTTACAGATATTTTACAAGGGCAAGAACAGAATAGCACTTCCTCCTCCAGATATTATTCGTGTCTCGCTACTTCAGCAGACGCGCAAAGCATTCCCTAATTATCATTATAGCTTTTTTTCATTGGCAACTATTCAATGAGCAAAACAGATAGGAGAATAAAAACATATCACGACCTTAAAAAACAGTTCATGTACAAAACAATACGGTCAAGGATACAAATAATGACGGGAACTGGTGCTGCTACTTTCCCAACATCATCGTCTGTTTGCATGATTTTCTTTATACGAGCCTTCAGGTTGAAAAAAACAGGCATTAAAGATTGTAATAAAGGCCTAAGAGTGCCTAAAAGGGAATTCTTACCGGTGGAAAACGAGCGTTGAATTTTTTCTTTTTCGTCGGCATTTTGGATTTTTGTTGAGTGTTTTGCCTTCTCGTACAAGCCCGCGATCTTTATATATATATGCAGCGGTTCCTTACCTAGTCATGCGCACTCTAACCTAACAATTTATCCTCAGTGGGGTGGAGACGGGAATATTTAGACTACCAGAATATTTGAATGAAAATCATGGCGCGCAGTTTAATTCCTTTTTATCAATGATACCAAACTTTAACTGTGAAAGCATTGAGTATAGAGCATGAGAAGGAATTTAGGGTTGTTTTTAGTTGCTTAGGAACTCATATTTGTAGCTCTGTCAGTGAGGAATACTGTTTTAAAATTCCAAGATGGACACTAAAAAATCATCCTATGCAAAAGAAGACAACGAGAATGAAGATGTAGGTGAATTACTAGCATTTAGAATATCATTTTACTGTAAAAATGTTAGCAGAATGTGACATAATGAGCTGCATTTTATGATAGCTTTTTTTATGAGCTCGTATGTTATGGTAATGGTATACATGTGGTTTGAAAATGGGGGAAAATACCGTCCCAAAGGCACTCCAAAGGCCAAGACTACATGGTGACTTTTATAGTGAACAAATCCCCCCCCCCACCCCTCCCTTTCACACACAAGCCTTAAGAAAGTGCAAAATACAAGACTTGAATAATAGACCTCCTCAACTCTGATGTAATGTTTTCCCATTTCAGACCACGTGTCATTCCCTGGAGTATAATTCCTTTGTCTATGGTTTGTGCTCGGTTGACACATGAATATGGATACAACTCAAACAAAGAATATTATTCTCAAGGGAATGACACATGGTCTGAAATGGGACAACATTACGCTGGAGCACTCCAGAGCCGAGGAGGTCTATTAAATGGATATTTAGGTCTAAGTCTGAACTAAAGGTTATTATAATTTATGCATTCAAATGAATTAATCTTAATGCATTTAGAAGGAGTGGGCTAGATTAATAGAGAGAAAGAAAGAGGAATTGAAGCAGTTACGTGAAAAAGAAGAGACAGTAAGTACCAGTGTTATCGATACACCTCTTTAGCTTGGTTGTAAGGTTTATCTATTTCAGATCTTTTGTCATTCCCTTGGGGATAATATTCTTTGTTTGAGATGTATCCATATTCATGTCTTCTCATGATGCTTCCTCTCATTCTCTTCCCAATCTTCCCTCTCCCCTCCCCTCCCATCCCTATTCCCCCACCTCAATTTCTTGCTACCCAGGCAAAGAAAAAAAATCTAAAAATCTACAAAGCTTTTCACTGTTGTATTACAGCGTGGGACAATCACAACAGAGCTAGGCTCTACTCACATACGACATTGAGATCGGCAGGACTCGAACTCGGGCCACATTGGTGAGAGGCAGCACATTAGCAGTGCATGATACTGGTTGTTCCCATGAATGACACATGGTCTGACATAAGAAAACATTATTCCCAATGTAAAGAGGTTTATTATTAACAATATTTATTTTTGGTTTAAAAGTTTCTAATCAGAAGGGTTTTTATTGTTGTTAGCTTTGTCAAAGAGAGTTGCATTATCAAAGAGAAAAGGAAGCTTTGTTAACACAGTACAAACAGGTTTTTCCTGATAAACCAGATTGGAGCAGGAAAAACAGCACCAGTGTTGATCCAAATAACTCAGCTGACAATAGGTAAATATAGTATTTTTTATTAATTTATCCAAGCTAGAGAAACTGCAAGCTATATTGCTACAGCTATTAAGTTAGCTGAGTCCAGATATTTTGAGCCCAAGATACATATATCTTGAACTTCGTCCTGTTATCTCAAAGTTAAGGCTGGGATCTCAAAAGCTTCAAGTAATAACTATAACAGTACAATTAATATTAGCCATGTTGGAAAAAAAAAACTGTGTTAGATGAGGTTTAGGGGACAAAATAGACTCATCTTGGAAACGTCCCCATAAACAGTCCCACAATGCAATGCTAGGCCAAAATGACGCATTGTTCTCCTCAAACATTGGGGTTAATATTTAACCCTGTCTGGATATCTCCAACATCCCCACCTCCCAATGTTTTTACCAGTTCCTTAGTAGGTTCAAGATAATGGGACCTCACTGTATATAGAAGGTTTCATGTGGCTCATGAAAAGCATGATCCAACTCCATCTATAACTGCAATTTCTTACAAATATTAAATAATTAATTTTTTTTTTTAATCTATAGAGTTTGATTATATTTTATTAGGCACCAGGATGTGTTTAAAGTTGGCTGTCAAATTCACCAGCAAAAAAAGCAAGAAAAGTTAGAGCTTCAACTTCGTGAAAAACAAGCAAGAAAAATGTTGGCTGAAGTTGATGATGCTCTGAAAATGGAGAAGAAAGGTTATTATTTTGACAAAAGATTGGTAATCAAGATCACCTTTTGCCTGCTCAATTAGTGAGTCTTCAACCCCAAGGGGTGGAGTCCGTGAAAAAAGTATCGGGGATGTTCGCTGGAAATTTTCAAAAAGACCCCTAAAAGATACCAGAAGTCTTTAAAAAAGTGCGTGGCTGAATGATTTTTAACCCCTAAGAGATACCACAACAAATAATATTAAATTAAAAGCACCTAGGATAAGCCATATCGATGTGCACTTCTCTCCTTTTCTGACACCCTAAGACCCTAATTCGCATTTAACACCCTAAAAGATACCAAATCGCGAATTTTTACCCCTAAGAGATACGATGAGCATCCCCGGTACTCTTGTCTTCAACCCAGACAACTAGTCCACACCTGGCTAGCCACATCCTTGGGAACCTTAGATATGAATAAAGAGTAATGTAAATCTAAAGGGGAAGGCTACCCCAGGAACTGACAACTACCCCCTTAAATCTTCCTGGGTCTACTTTAGTCGGTGTCATTTTCTCAAAAATTGCCAGTAGGAACTTACCTCAAAGGGATCAGGGTCACATATCATACAATATTAACTTTACAATCAGATTGTGTAGTTCCAGAATTTGTCCATACTCCCCTCCCCCACAGAAGAATTTGGAATTTCCAAGGGGTAGGGGGAAAGTCAGGGCAAAAACAAAATTACAGGGGGGGAAGAATGGAGTATTTCTGGAAAGACACATTTAGAACTAAAGTATCTGTCACTATTGCTAAAAGCTTTTTTTAATGTTTTAATTTATAATAAAATTTGTTTTATTTGTTCATTCATTTTCTCACTTGTTTACTCATTTATTTCCCATGTAATTAATCCTCTCTTCCAGGCTTTGGTTTGGAAACACCTCTCCTCAAATGGTACCTAAAAATTAAAAATTATATTAAAATGGATGAAGAGGAGGATAATGAAAACATCCCTGAATCAGGTATGTCAGTTACTGTTATACAGTAGTTGTCACACAGGTCAATTAAAGCTACCTGATTGGGTGGTTAGTTAGGCATTTGCCTGTGGATTTAAGCACCATCTTGACAAATACAAATAGTTCAAAATAGCTGCCTGCCGATGGCCAAAAAAACCTATTACTAGGCAGGCAAATATAATTGTGAAGTGCCAAGTGGAAAATAAAATGGTAAGTGAAATTTTGTTGAGTTTTTGCATAATAATATCCTTTTAAACTTCCTTAACAATGTTGACCTAGTGTATTGTTTTTCTATTTTGATCTCTGGACTCAGGATTCCTAAATAACTGAGTAGAAAGTGTTGCCTTGATAATGTGAAGCCCATCTTAAAATACCTACAAACAGAGAGATATTTTAGCTGATATTTTATGTTCATCAATCTTAGAGAAATCCTTATGCATGGCAGACAGGATGTTTTATCAGGTGAAATACCAAACAAAAGATGGTAACCATCCACAATGGAACATGCCTCTAGGAAAACAACAATACCAATCACTTCCTGGAAAATGGTTAGAGGAGCTATCATTCAGCACACGACAAAAAGGCACTTGTGTACATGTGACCATTACTAGAAAAGTTTCAAATTCTTGGTAGGTGAAGTGTTCACCTATTTTGTCAAAATCTTGACAAATTGAGCATGGGGGGAGGGGTAGAGAAAGATTGAATTACATGCATTTGAGCAGTTAAAACGAGGTGGGTCACCATAAAATGGGCAGAGAGAGGGTCCTGATGGGAAGCCAGTAAAAAGGGTGGGTCACCATAAAATGGGCAGAGAGAGGGTCCTGATTGGAAGCCAGTAAAAAGGGTGGGTCAC